CCATGGATACACGCCTGGTAGAAGGGTCTGATTGTCTAGATGAAGCACACGGCAGTGAACAGAGGAGAGGCGCAACACTGTTTGGAGAAGAGAGACAGGCAATGCCACGCGCATGAAGGACCGTCATGTGTGAACAATGGAGAGGAGCAACGCCGTTTGGGGAAGAGAGAGAGAGGCAACGTCGCACACGTGAAGGGAGGAACATTGCGCGTGAACAGAGGAGAGGGGCAACGCCGTGCATGGCAACACCGTGTGTAACACTGCTGTGTATGGAGAGTGAATGCCACCTGCTGAGTGCATGCAGCCACACATGCCACTTGTCCAGCTGCATGTGTGGTGTTTGCCACCTGTCACCACTTGGACTGCCACCTCCCCACCAAGGGAGTACTTATGCCTCTCCCTCTCCCACCCGCCATTCACTTCACCCTCTCTCTCTCAAGCTTTTCAATTTGGAGCCCCTTTTGTTAGCTATTGTTCACCATTGAGGAGCCTTGTTAGAAGCTTGAAGGAGGAGACTGTGGGAGAAGATTTGAAAATACAGTGCACCTAAGGTAAGTGGATCATCTACCTTGTAGGTCCCTAAGCATGGATTGGCCATGAATCAAGTATGATAATTTGCATAAGTAGTGGCATGATTAATGGATGCATATGCACACTGTTGTACTGTAAATTCCAGCAATTTAGCTTGCCTTTGCATGACCAAAATGAGTATCAGATCTTCCTTCTTTTTCATGGAAAGTCAGTGAATATGTGTTTTTGTGTATCTAATGGAAAATGAGAAAGGTTTATGTTAAGAATTAACATAATTAGAAGCTAATTGATTGTCATGTTGAGTGATGATGTGACTGTGCTGTAATTTCCAGGAAGGTTCGATGTTTTTGTAATCTACTTTTGACCTATCAAATGAGGTCTAATTGACCTCAAACCTCTGGCATTGAAAAGATATCTGTGTCTACTAAAATATTCATGTTTCAATCTGGCTCAAATTCTTTATGCATGAAGAGTTATGCTTCAAAATCTGTAAGTTGGTCAGTGTGGAAAAATTTCGTAGAAGTGCAAAACTGATGTCTCTGTTGTCACGAATTTTGATTGACCAAATAGAGTCCATTTTCTTTTAAACCACTTCCATTTGAAAGATTTATGAGTATGCTTGAAATCACATGTTGAACACATTTCGACTTTCTTCCTAAATTGGGAGTTATACAATTATTTGCAGAGATATGTCACTGTGGACAGATTTTGTAAAATTCAAATTCCAGAACCATTACTTGGTGTCACAAACTTTTGAATGACCAAATGGATTCCTAATGTTCTCAAATTGCCCTTGTTTGAAAGATACATGTTTTTACTCGAATTTTGGTTTTGGAACCACTTTAAAATGTTTTATGTATTGAAAGTTATAATGGTGCTGAGTGGGACATGTCACTGTCCCAACTGCACAACAGGTTTCAGATGGGATGCCTCCTTTTTAATAAGCTTTTGAAAGGTCAAATGGGGTCCAAACGCTTTCAAGCCACCCCCTTTTGAAAGATACGCATGTCTAGCAAAAAATTGGTTTTGGAACTATTTTCGAATTCCAAATGGATAGAGCATTATGGCCATGTTTATGGTTGGACGTCACTGTCTGAAATTGCAGGAAAATATGATACTGTGATACTAAAAATATGACACTGTGATATTATAAATATGATATTGTGATACTGAAAATATGATACTGTGATACGGTGGCACTGATTAATATATGTGATTATGTTATAACGAACTGTTATATGTGCCATGACCACTACGCAATGGGTCCTCCATTGGTAGTGGCTACTCTAATTCTGTTATATTAAAACTGTTATATGTGCCATGACCACTACGCAATGGGTCCTCCATTGTTAGTGGCTACTCTAATTCTGTTATATTAAAACTGTTATATGTGCCATGACCACTACGCAATGGGTCCTCCATTGGTAGTGGCTACTCTATATTAAGACTGTTATATGTGCCATGACCACTACGCAATGGGTCCTCCATTGGTAGTGGCTACTCTATATTAAGATTGTTATATGTGCTCTGACTGCTACGCAATGGGTCCTCTATTGGTAGTTGGATTCGTGATTCTGCTATACTGAAAACTGATATTTGTGATATGACCACTACGCAATGGGTCCCCCATTGGTAGTTGGGTATATTGTACCTCGACTCCTATGATAAGAGTAGAGTCGAGGAGTGACTGTGAATAACAGGGAGGGTCGCGCCCCCAAATTGTCATGGGCACTACGTATTGGGCCCTCCAATGGTAGTATAATGCCCTCCCGCCCGAAGGCGTAAGGAGAGGGTTGTCTTGCAAGGCCACATCCTATCGAAAACCCCAAAGCGCGATGGGGATTGTGTGCATGAGTGAGGACATTACAAAATGGGACCTCCATTTGTCATTGTCCTCCCTTCTGAATGAGGGTAAAAATCCCAAGTTACAGGATTGACTTAGCCTAGTCAATGTGGCTTCTACTTTGGAAGCAAACAATTTTGTTTTCTGCCTATCTGAATTAGATATTCTGTATGAGTATCTGACTGGAACTGTCATAAGTTACAATGTAATTGCTATTTCAGGAAATATTCGATGCTCTGGTATTTGAACCTTACTCTCTTTATACTGCTAGTGTTTATATTCTGATGCAGGACTCCACTCTATGATACAAGTATGATCTTTGATGAACCGTAGGCTATGTTATTATGTATCTGCATGTAGATGGGAATACAAGGGTCGTGATCTACTTACCGGGCATATAGCTCACCCCACTTACTTTCATTTATGTAGAGTGATAGCACTTGACTGTGAGAGTCGAGCAGCAGAGTGGTGGCGGCAGACTTTTGAAGCTTCAAACCCGTAAGGGATCCCTTTCTGCAAAGTAGGTGTCCAGTGGAGACCACTAGGTTGTTTTGGTGTGATGTACTGTAAAGTCAGGCTTGTAAGCCTTGAACTATATTGTAAAGAATCTTGGAGTTTGAATGAAAATTTAATGGTTTTAATTTATTCAGTCTAAAGTGCTTGATGTACGAGTTTTATTTAACTTTTGTGGTTTGCTTTGATTCTACATTTCTAACACGCATTGAGCCCCTCCCGCCTAACTGACATTCGCGACCTCCGGTCGCAATCCTGCACTCTGTCGCCCTCCGGTAGGGTAGGGAGGGGTCAGGGGGCCGGGGTCGTAACAGTTAATGGCCAATTCACTCAACCGGATTGCAGATCCAAACCACTGCTTCTAAAGATGACCTCCAAAATTTGTCTATATTGAAGTACTGAACAATTAAAAGAGCATGTCATATGGCATGTGGACAGCGCACAATCACATGGGATGTAGAAGTATAGATGCGCTCATGTAAATCAATCTCTCATTAAGCCATCATTGATTTACAGGACATAATACTCACGTCTAAAAGCTCGAAGCATCTGCTCTTGCATTCACCCTTTCAAACTTGGAAGTGAGGCATCAGCAACTACAATTAGCATTTCAAGCTCACAATTAGAAGTAAATCATACTCGACAAGAAACTCCAATCATGCTTCCTGTATTGGATAACATTCCTTTTGTCGGGTAAAGTGATTAGTTGTCTCATTATCCATCTGAATCACAAAAAAGTAGCTCTGCTCATTTTATCAAGGACAAAGCACCTCAATTTCGCTTCATTCAACACCAGGCTCTCAAAACTTTGTTGGCTGCCCGTCCCTGATTGATACCCCTCCAAGTATATAGTTTGAGATGCATTTTTGGATGTCATCCAGTGCTGAAAAAAACTCCATAAGAAAAAGAATATGAAATAAAATAAATGCCAGAGGTCAATACTGTGTAACCATAGTTTTGGCACTTGATTTCATTCCTTGATTATGTTGTTTTATGTAAATATCCTTCTACAAATTTCCCATAGAAGTCAACCAACCTAAGGAATAGAGAGCATAATAATCAAATACAATTATAGATTGTGGACATCATTGGATAGTTTGCATCTTTTGCCCATAGGTATGTATAGATGGCCGCGCTCCCCAGAACCACAAGTTTGTCTTGAGCAAAACTACAATTTACAATTTTAGAAATTATTGGTTTTCAAAGTTTGAATACCACAATTTTGACATGCCTCACATGGCCATCAGGGATCAGTCATGTACAACAATATCATCCAACTATGACAATCATTTTTGTGCATAGAAAGTAGCAAGGACATTAGTTAGCACGTGCTACATCGCAAGAAGAAGATTCCTCCCTTTAATATGCCCATAGAGAAAAAAGCAGACAATAAAAATGATAAGAAAGTATAACATGGAGTAAATGCATCATACACTCGTAAAAAAAGGTCCCATATAAGAAAATGTGTGCTAGCCTTACATCAAAATCTGAAGGCATGCCTTCATTATGTATCAATATAAAAGTCTGAAACCCAAGTGTATAAATATATCGCAACACACTACATAAACTCTCAAAACATGCTCAATGAGTCATCTATTTAATCCATCTCAATCCAAAGAAAAGGGAAAAAGAACAAGCCTTCTAATTAAGTTTAGAAGCTATCCATGAGGTAATTTGAGGAACACATGTGAATGGATCAAACCACAAACTTAGCATACACTATCACAGTCAATCACAATTGCATGTCATAACCAACAAAAGAAAATAAAGGCCACATTTTATTTTAGAAGAATAATAAACACTGCATAACCATCGCTTCCATAAATTAAATATGTACATAAGCTTCCATCGTCTCAACTAAAAGTACAAGCTAAGCGTGCACAATATATAATGGAAAAAGGAAAACAACATTAAAAAACTACCCAAAATGAAAATACAGCAAACGTGCTAAATAAGACTTGCAAGTATTCTCATTACTCTCCCTTCTATAAATTGCTAATAAACCACTAATCTGCATAGGGTACCAAGCATTTACCCACACTGAACGAATTGATATTTGCTAATGACTATTAAATGGATTAAAAATAACCCAAAAAACATCAAAGCACCATACCTCTCCTTCCTTCTTCGTGGCTGAAGCCTTCTTCTTCTTCCCAAGATCAACCCCATAGTGCTGAAGATACCATTGCTTAAAGGGAGCAGCATCAACCTGAACAATGGCACTCTTAACCAGAGTCTGAGTCCGGACCAGTTCATTATTCGATGCATTGTAAACCACATCAAGAATCCTGGTCTTTCTTGTTACTGCTTCACTGCCCCATGAACAATTTCCAGTGTCGAGCCTCAAAGCCCTCCATTTCACATTACCACCTCTTACCCTAACCCTCCTCACTGTCTTGTTGCTCGAGAGCTTGGTATTCGCAGGTTGACGCCCTAGCTCATACCTTACAGATGAAATCAAAACATTATGCTACAAAACTAGGGGAAAGAAAGCATATAATAGATGAAACTTGAAGCGAGGATAGGGATTAGGGTTCTGGGGCATACTTTCGCTTTTTCCTCCATGACTTCTTCTTGCCTCCTGTTGCTCGACGCTTGTGCATAGAATCCCTGGAGATACCTGCAAAAGAGAGAAATGATTAATAAATAAATCAGAGGAGAGTCACAGAGTACCAGATAGATAGAAAGAAGCGAAAAAGAGACCCATTGTCTAGGAGTAAGAGAGATGGAGTAGATATAGAAAAGAGATATTGCTTGAGATGAGAGAGAAGAGCGACAGAGGTTGCTAAGAGATAGATACCTGGAGGGAGAGAGAGAAAAAAAGGGAAGAAGAGAGAGAAAGAGAGAGATACCCATGGTTGAGGCGGGGTTAGGGTTTGGTGGAGGGTTTCTGGTTCAGCTCGCAACAAGGAGGAAGAGGTCACGCAACAGTGATGGAATGCCAGTCCCAAAAACCCTAAATGTCAAAAAGGCAAAATGACTGAGAAGAGCCCTTGCGTTTTATGGCTTTCTCAAATGCCCTCTTCCTTTATAAACCCCTTGATTATATGAAAAATTCTTTTTAACTTTTTGTTTTCATTTTTGTACGTTTTTTTAAAAAAAAATTTTTATCAAATTGCACCAGGGTTTGAAAACTAGGCGAGTCGAACCGGACTCGCCCGATTTTACTAGGAAATCGGCAGTTCTTGTGCCGATTCCACCACAATATCGAGAATCGCCAACGTCTAGAGAGAACCGGACGATTCCCAATAGTGAATCGTCGAGTCACTGTTGAGACTCGTCAAGAACACGGGCTGCACAGTGTTCTTCATTATTTTGGTGGTTTTTTATTATTTTCTTATCGTTTTTCATCTTTTTCAGCTTTACAATCGAATCTTGCAGGCTTTATTTTAAATTTTTCAGCCATTTCAGTCAATAAAAGACAATAAAAATTATCGATTTTGATCAAAAAAAGTTGGATCTGTGAAGAACGCTAAAAACGTTTTAGGGTTCCACCATTTCTTTGATTTCAAGCAAAAGAGGACATCATTTTTTGTAAAATTTGAGGGTTATTGATCGTAAGAGTGTTGTTCAAAAGTTTTTGTTCATAATTTGTGAGTATTTTGGACGAATACATATCAAATTTGAATTTGAAGCCACGGGTGTACGAAAAACAAGTACGAACTGTGTTTTTTTTTTTCGCCGTTCTATCAAATTCACTCAATATTTTATAAATAATATGTTAAATTTATAGGCTTTTGATTCGTTATAGTGTTGTTTATCATCACATGTATTCAATTTGAGTTTGATTTTTTAGAAAAAAAGACTGATGTCTGTGAAGAAAAAATGGACTACATTTTTTTTTTTTTCTCGCCATTCTATCAATTTCACTCAATATTTTACAAATAATATGTTAAATTAATAGGGTTTTGATTCGTTATAGTGTTGTTTATCATCACATATATTCAATTTTATTTTATTTATTCAATTTGAGCTTGATTTATGAGAAAAAAAGACTGATGTCTGTGAAGAAAAAATAGACTGTAGTTTTTTTTTTTCCAACATTCTATCAATTTTACTCAATATTTTACAAATAATATGTT